TGTTTCGTTGCGAAAGCGAAACTACTTTGTTTGGCCTTCCAAAAGAGGACACAACTAGAAATCAGTGGTTAAGTTGTATTTACAACACTGTTCCAGAACAGTTCAACCCAAATATTCAGATGTGTGCTGCGTATTTTACGGAGGACTGTTTCCTGAACCTGTGAGAGTAGCCTACAATGCGCCTGTGCACAAAGTGGGGCAGTTCCAACTTTGCAAGGACAGTCTGACGCTTCTGACTCACAGCCTGTAAGTATGTTTTCATATTTAAAGAATTTGCCACTGATGATTCAAACGCGAGTTTTGAACAGTGTAGAGTAGCGCTTGTTGTTTGTTGTTTCTCTGATCACAAATGCAGACATGGATTTATGTTGACGCAGCACGATACGCAACACGTAAAAAGTCATTATAATCAGTAATTATGTCCCCACTGGATGCAACAAATGTCTCGTTTGTAATGGGTTTTATTGGTTTTGTCTCGTCGCGCCGAGACAGGGCATCACAGTATGGTAAGGGACGTAACATTTCCGACACACGCTTGAGGTATTCAGCCAATCACAACGCAATGGATAGCTGGTCAATCAGTGTACACCTCGCTTTTCAGAACGATGAGCTTTGTAAAAATCGATGCGTTTCAGAAAGGCGGGGCATAGAAGAGCAACAATAATGTACATTATGTGGAAAAGAATGTGTTTTTTGAACCTTAAACCTCATAAACACATTGCATTACACCAAATTCACAAAATAATGTTCTTTTTAGCAACGTCATATGACCCCTTTAAACATGTTGCATTTTGTTTTACATCTTAAATCTACAGATAAGATTTCAAAGAAAACATTAACACATTAGACATACATTGTATAGGGCAATAAATAACTTGATTAACAACATAATTTAACAACTGAAAAGAAAAGAAAAAACTAAAATTATATGGTATACTCTGATTATGTAGCATTTAATGTATTCTAAAGCTTTTATTTCTGTAAATCCTGCAATCAAATTTTATTATATTTAATATAAACAAGGTGATTGATTTAAAATTAGTGTTGATTATTATTAGTCATTTCAGTCACATGATCCCATGGACTTCCATTATATTTGCATTGCTGTGAACAGTAGGGAGGAGTCGATGTTATGTCCTGTGGAATTCATACCACAGATACTACTGTATTTAACATTTCTTTCAGTATTTTAAAATGTGGTTTCTCTTGGGATTTTTGTCATTAGTGAAGGTACGACTGTGGTTTACTACTTTGAGATGAAAAACTTAATTTAATGTTAAGTTGTTTGTAAGATGGTCATTCTGTGTTTTTAAAACAATGTTGTCTTGTGTATGGTAATATTGTTTTTTCAGTAGTTTCAAAGACTAAAAAATACACGTGGTGTTTTACTCTTTAAGCCATTTCGTGAACAGAATGCTGGGGTGAGCAAGAATAAAGTTATAATGACTAAAGAGCAGTCCATTAAATTCTTATGTAACCCAGATAAAGATAAATAATTAGATTTCCCCCCCATTTATGCTTAATTAGGCAAACATCTCCTTAATTATTTATTCAAATCATTACTCCAGGTTTAATGTACACTAATTATGTGTGTTGTGCATTGCATAGCTGTGCATTCAGAAGCTTTTACCTCTATTGTTACTGCCGCACCACTATAAAAGCAGTAAATAAAAAAAAGATTCTAAATGTTAAATATAATATTACACATATTATGGCTAGAGTGATTTTTTTGTGATTCACACCTTCTAGTGGTATGAAACTGTATTGATGTTTTTAGCACACTGGGGTGTGTTTCCCAAAAGCAACTATGGTCACAAGTTGCGTCGTTACCAACAGAGTTCAATGGAACTAACGACCATAGTTAGCCAACAGTGCTTTTTGGAACCGCACCCCTGGTCAGGTGTTTCCTTATTGTTTATGTTTTGCTTGGGGCGGACTGCATTTCACTGAGCGGTGTAGCACATGAACTTGTAGCACAGGTGAATTCTCAAAGTTCTTTAAAGTGTTGCCAGTCTATTTAGTGGAACTGAAAAGTATTTGAACACATAAGCTACACTTAAAACTGTATAATTGCTTTTGCATAATGTAGCAAAGTATCAAACCAAGTGCCAATTGATTTAATTATATTTTCAGGCAAAACAACTCACAAAAAGAGGTCTGTCCGATTTCAAATGATAAACAATGCTCAATACTGAAGTACTGTGACACTTTGTGTATTTCAAACATTTGTGAACATGTTGATAGGTAATGTGATTCTCTACACCTCTGGTTACTCTAATAGGACATCTGTGTGAACTTGAGGAGAACTGACTTCATGCAGCCACTAAATATCACCTTGCTAAAAGTCATAGCATGGAGTCAAAAATGACTCCAAAAATGTACGTTTGGTTATGCACAATGATATTCCTACATTTTAAGTTTAAGTGTCTAAATACTTACTGGGTTAACTATAGTTTTCATGTTAACGCACACTTACACATCTCACATACAGCTGTCACAGTCACTCTATCTTGAGTTTACAGTTTAAATCTGTTGCATTACCTTCCTTTATATAAATTAAATTGGAATATGTTAATTTAGTGCTTGATTTATTCAAAGAGTGAATAAAAGCGGAGAGTGGAGAGAGAGGTGGTAGGGGGCTCCTCCACAGCAGAAAAGTCTCACACCTGGTTGTGTACAAGAGAAAGTGCTCTTTCAGATGCCCCACCCAAAAAGTGATCAGTTACCTGCCCCCCATTTCCAACCCTCTACACAAGCACAGCTCTGATCAACAGAAGGAGGACGGGAGAAGATACGAGAAACAAGGACTGACTGCTTACATCTGAGCTACAGCTCTCATGTCTCCCATTTGGCTTGGACAAATATGTTTGGTCCTGCTGCTGTGCAGGATTGTGGTAAGTGACACCGAACCAACAGGTGTTTTGGCATGAAATGAATTGAATATTCAGCTCAATTGTGTTTCTTTCACACATATTTAAGCAAATGTAATAATTACAGCTACTATGCATACTATGCACACTTGCTGTTTCTGATCACATTAACTCCTAAAACTATTTTGTTTTCTTCACCAGAAACAATTTCATTTTTTTTCATAAAGCTTTTGAATGTGAGAGTGTTGAATGGATAGATTTGGTCTGATCAATTCAGTTTAATCTGATTATTTTGTGTTCACATTGTTATAACTTATATCCTTGCATATTATAAAGCAAGCCACAACACTGTAATAGTAAAATTAGTATCATAATAGTCACTAATTGTTGTGGCCTTTTGCTATTTTAACCACTGGAAGACACAAGCATCTACCATTTGTTAATATGAAAAACGCCTGTGGGCAGCATAGTCTCAAGTTTAAACCTGCACTCTATGCTACAGCAGCAGGTTCTTACAATAGACAGCATCAGCATATACCTCAGCATATACTTGGAACAATGTGTACTAGTTCAGTTTACAGTAAAGAGGAACGGTTTACAGTATATATATATATATATATACACACACACACACACATACATATACTGTATATATATAAGTTTGGTTAGTATAAGGAACATTTTTATTTAAATGCATAGCTTAAATGGGCTGCATTACCTGTTGTTTTTAGGCAAGCAGATCAATTTTAACTGATTTTTTCAATTCTGTTCATTCCTATGCTCATCTCTGGAGTGCCGTGATGGCAGGCCATAAATAATTCCCAAAAGCATTTACAAGCATAGAGAGAAAGTATGTAAAAGGATACATAAGAACTGCTTTCACAGGGTGTACATCAGTGCTACAGTAATCCATTATTGTTAGCATTTGTACACTTGAAAAATAGCATTTGGATCTATTTTCATCAGCCATCAACAGTTGCCAACCATAAACAGTTGACACTGTAGATAAAATTGCCGTGACTAGGGATGAAAAGGTCATTAAAATGTAAGAAGAACAAATCTCAAAGATCTTCATATGAATTGTATAGGATTTAATATACAGTACATTTAGATGTATATTCTTTCTACACTAAGGTGGCACCCTCTCAAAAGGTACTAATACGTACACTTTAGGTACTAATATGTACATTTAAAGTACTATGTCCCTTGAAGGTACTAATACGTACTTTCATCTACCACCCCAGTGACAGCTTTGTACCTTTTTTCTGAGATTGTATGTTATCTTTCTTTTGATGACAATACAATTTTATAAAAAAATTATGAATTTGTCATAAGGATGGTTAATAAGAATACTGCATTTAAGGTAAAGAAGTAATGTCAATGCATTGAATATACTTAATGTCTAACATTCTGGAAAAAATCTAATTCTTTAGGCATTGAGAGCCAACAGCAGATCTAATCGAAGGAAACGAGAGTGGATTCTTCCACCAACAAGACTTTATGAGAATATTGACTACACAAAAGAGGAGTTTGTGGCAAAAGTAAGCATTTTTACAGCTTTTTCTCCCCCTGCACATAACCCAAAGACATATTTTGCATATGCTTGCACTGGGTGGTCCTTATGTCAATCTTTTCTTGTTTGTGCTATCATCTGAAAAACTTGAGATCTGGATCTACTGGTTCTTAAAGCTTCAACTTTTCACCTGTTTCACAAGCTGCCCTACACCTACTGCTCAATATATCCTTCTGAAACTCAGCAAAACAAAAGATGATAAGAGTTTTAAAAATATATTTGAGTTAAACCTGATATTATTCTACAATCTTTATATTTTGTATACTTATATTTTGTAATTTAATTCACTTAAAATTAAGAGCGCATACAGTATTTCTTACCTACATAGTATTTTAAAATGTATGTTTAAGTTTATTAAGTTTTTTAACGTGCCTCTTATTCCTAGAACTTTTTCATACCACTGAAAAAACAAGAAGGTCCTCATCAAGACATACCAGGATAATGGTCTGTTATTGACACGAATATGTCCTCTATTGAGACAGAATTTATGACAAAGCAACAGGGGTACTTGCAACATGCAAATTTGTGTGTTTACCAATATATAAAAAATGTATATAAATATACGTGTAAAAAAGTGATTTACACATAAATCCAACAGAAACTCCACCACAATCTGCATATTTTTAAATGCTCGAGACAGTCATCACTACCTGAACCTCACATCGACTGGCTGCCGCCTATGTTTTTTGCTTGATATTTGCATAATGTGACCTTGCCTTTGCATTTGCATATTTAAATACTCGGTATTCACAGGCATTCTCAATATTGTCTTGCTTTTTTAGATCCGATCTGATAAAGATATTAACTGGCAGATGGTGGAATATGGACTAACAGGTCACGGCGCTGACAAGGCACCCTATAACTTGTTTGTTATCAATCCTGAAAATGGCTATGTTAGGGTCACCAGCCTGCTAGACAGAGAGAAAACATCCTTATACAATGTGAGTTGCGCCCCACTTTTGGGTAATTAATTACAGACATATAAATGAGATGATGACTGATATAATGACTAAATTAAGAGACCTTGATACACACATATCATTTTTGTTCTTCTGTAGCTGACTGGCATAGCAAAATTTCGCAACGGATCAATAGCAGAAGAAAACATTGAGCTGAAGATCAAAGTTGAGGATCAGAATGATAACCCACCAATATTCAAATTACAGAGGGGATCTGTGAGGGAAAGCAGCAAGATTGGTGGGTTGCATTTATTACCATATTGTTTTTATGTTTCCCAACTTCCTTAAGTTCTCACAACATTCTCTGTTGTACAGGATATTTATAAATTAAAAATATAACACTACAGTATTTACTAGTTAGTTACTGCTCCAATAAGACTTTACCATTTTTACCCTTATCTTACAGTCCCCTATTCTATATACTTTATAAAAATGTTATATTTTTCTGTCATCATGCTTGTGAAACAACAGGAACACCTGTCATGCAAATAAAAGGTACTGATGCGGATGAACCGGACACTCTTAATTCCAAAATAGCATACAGTATATTAAGGCAAACCCCAGCCGAATCTGGGCATACGTTCTCCATTGATAAAACAACTGGGATAGTCTATGTGAAGGAGAAAACCCTGGATCGAGAGGTAACTGATGTGAAAACTGGCAATGTATGACATTCAAAAGTTAATGAAAAATGCAACATTATGCATTTAAATCCAGATTTATAACCAACTGTCTTTTACAGAGACACGACAAATATACTTTAATAGTTCGAGGAGTTGATATGAACGGAGCTTCGTCTGGCAACACAGGAACAGGCACTGTGCAAATTCATATTTTGGATATAAATGACAATGTTCCCACTCTTGAGAAAGAAGAGGTAAGATCTTAAAATATCATTGCCTGCAATCTGTGAATGGCAGGATTATTCAATTACATACATTTATGTAATAAATAAATCCCTACTATAGTAGGGATTTTATTTATCAGTTGGTGTCTTTATCTCTGTTAGTATTCAGGCAGTGTTGATGAAGGTGTGATTGATGTGGTTGTCATGAGAATTAAAGCCCTGGACAAGGATCTGGAATGCACTGATAACTGGCTGGCAGTGTTTGATATCCATAAAGGAAATGAAGACAATCTCTTCTCAATCGAAACGGACCCTAAAACGAATGAGGGAATTCTAAAACTTGTCAAGGTACCTGCAAACGCCTTTTTCTTTATTATGGACATAAACCTTTAATAATATTATTTGTTGAGGGGTCAATGACACACATTTGTCCTTTCTATTAATTGATAAAAAAAAAAAAATTGCAATTCATACAAAATGTCAGTGTGGTAAAAATGTCCTGATATCATGAAAAAAGAAAAAGAAAAAACTCATTAGGGATGCAATTCTTGAAAAGAAAATCTTAAGTAATCTATTATTATTTCTTAAATAAACGTATATATGATACAATTTTCTCACTTAATATTTATATTTAAACATGCCTATTATGGTTTTAAAATGTCATGTATAACTTCCCAAAAATGTAATTATATATATGAATTAGTAATTCATGATTTAAAAAAAAAATGTTTACTTTGAAAGATATAAGAGAAAACATCTAAATATAAAAAGAGCAAATATATTTAAAAACTTTTTAAAACTTAAATAATAATTGAAATGTACACTCTCATATGTAATCAAGGTGTGAGAAAATAGTTAGAAAATGATAGTTACACCACATGATATTTTCACTTAAGTAATTAAATTGAAACTTTTCTAGTAAATGGTATAAAGGTTTTTCAAAACCGTATTAAGCTCTTCTAAGAACTTGTCAAATGTATTTTAAACAAGATTTGTTATTGACTCAGAGACACTTACTTGGTATCTCCCGTCAAAATAACCTACATTATGTATCTTATTTATATCATTTTGTCTTTTTTCCTTTTCCATGCCTATCTGCCTCTCTGAAGCCTGTTGATTTTGAAAAGGTAAAAGAATTGGACCTCAGTTTGGTCATTTCAAATGTAGCTCCTTTCATAAATGGAAGTGCTTTAGAGCTGGACATTAATCTGGACAAGGATTTAGGGGCTGGCGCGGGCCTAGGAGCTGGAGCTGGAGCTGGAGCTGGAGCTGGAGCAGGTTTGGAAGCGGGGTTAGGAGTAGGCTTAGGTTTGGGAGTAGGACTGGATGCTGGATTGGATGTAGATGCTGGATTGGATCTGGGTGCTGGAGTGAATGTGGGAGTGGATGCAGGTGGTGATGTTGGGCTTAAACCTGATGGTAAGCCTGGAGTTAAGCCTGGAGCCAAGCCTGGCCCCTCACCTGGTGTCAAGCCTGGAACAAAACCATCTGGCAAACCTGGATCTGAGCCTGATAAAAAAACAGCTGGGAAAGGTTACCCAGTTAAGATCAGTGTAAACAACCTACCCGACGGTCCTAGCTTCTCACCTTCTGTGAAAGACTTCCCTGTGTCAGAAGATCCAGATGATGAAGATTTCCCAATAGTGCTGGGAACGTATGCTGCTTTGGATGGTGACACTGGAGAACCAGCTGAAAATGTGAGGTGAGCTTTGATCAGTTTTTCAAGGAAATGTATGGTTACCTTGGATTATTAATCATATTAATGCTTATATATGCATTTATATATAGAGAGAGAGAATTATATTCATTGATTTTATTTGTAAATAATGATATTGTTGATTTCCATCATTGCTATTATTGATGCAGGTTATTGATTTCATTATGCTTGTTTATACAGAGGCCTAATAATCTTTGATCAGTTATTTTTATGTCATTGTTTTCATCATTAATTGAACATCCAGGTATGCTAAAGGTCATGATCCTGATAACTGGCTAACCATTGATGAGGAAACTGCTGAGATTAAACTGACAAAGGCTCCTGATCGAGAATCAAAGTTTTTGGTCAATGGAACCTACTTTGCAAAGATTATCTGCATGACTCAAGGCAAGCATCAGCATTTGTGCCAAGTTTTTTGTGTGTTTTTTTCCCGCTAAGATGAATTGAATATGAACTCTAATATTTAAACAGGTTTAAATATCTACTTATTTAAACCTGTTAAACTTCTTTCTAAAATCTTTCAAAAGATTTTGGACTGACAGTCCTTAATTGGGCATTTTGTAAGTACTATAAATATTATTTTTTTCTGGATGGGTATTCTTTGTGTAAATAGGATTTGTAAATAGCTAAATTAAATAATAATATGCTGTAAATATGTAGGCCTAAATGTTAATAAGTATCTAAATATCGTTATTTAAATATTTATTTATTTATTTTTAGTTTAGGTATAGATATACGTTTTCCCTTAAAATATTGACATATTTTTCTTTTATTTGTTAGATGTGCCAGCTAAGACAGCGACTGGGACAATAGCATTAAAGGTGGAGGACTCGAATGATCACTGCCCCACATTGACCAGCACCTATCATCAAACTTGTGATAATAATAAAGTGGTAAATGTCACGGCTTTCGATGGGGATACTGATCCAAATGGAGCACCTTATCAATTTGTTCTGATAGAAGAGGAAAGTGTGGGAAAATGGGAGATGGTGCCTATAAACGGTAAAGCGAAGCGGGTTTATTCACTTAAAACACACAACTAACACTCAAATGCAATGTATATGAATTACTAGTGCAAATCTCTCTTATTTGTAGGAACAACAGTAAGCTTTCATGCACTGGAGGCTTTGTGGCCAGGCATGTACAAGCTGGCTGTGAAGGTCTCGGACGCTCAGGGTCTGGCCTGTCCAGACAACCAAAAGTTTGAGATAGAAGTTTGCAGCTGTGAGAAAAAAGGCTCATGTGGGCCGAGACTGGCTGCACAGCGTAGCTTACCATTCAAAATTGGAACAGCAGCCACTGGCTTGTTTCTCAGTGGCGCAGCTTTGCTCCTGTGTAAGTTATTCATGTGTTCAACACATTCATACAGCTTGACATCCTTATAGTGTTTATAAAACTCTTTGTTCATTGCATTTTCAGTGGTACCCTTCCTCCTGATCTTCTGCCAGTGTGGGACCGTGAGTGAATTCACAGATTTGCCCTTTGAAGCTAAAGAATCTCTCATTGCATATCACACTGAAGGCATAGGAGAGGACAAGGTAAAATTTATTCAGATGCAAAATTAAAATTAGAACTTGGTTTTATATCATAAAACACACTTCGGTTCTACAACATGTACAACATGATTTTGTATACTGTAGGAGGTTCCTCTTCTCAGCAGTCCTGTTGCTGCAATAGACCAAAAACAACTGTTCCAGGATGGAATAGTTTCCAACTATGTATCCAACAATGTATCCTCAATGCCCTTTCAACCAAGTGTCACTAATGAAAGCAGAACATTCAACCAGGAAATAAATGAAGGGTTTACAGAAACTGACAGCAAAAGGTTTTGGTCCCGGCGAAACACCTTTTCAACAGCCAACCAACGCAACAGTGCTCTCTACTCTACATCGCTCATGTTTGAAAAACAAGACATTTATGAGGATATGGCAGTGGGAGATGCCTTTCTCAATGAATATTTCTCTCAGGTATGAGATTAATTATTTATATTTAAGTTCATACAAAGTCTGTGGAGCACAAAAGGGGATCTTGGCCAAGCTTTAAAAGACAAATCAACACCATAAAAGTATCATAAAGTAGTCCATACAACTTATGCACCATATTCCAAGTCTTCTGAAGTAATACAATAGCTTTTGTGTGAGGAACAAATTACATTTTCGAATGTTATTTGATGAACATCTGTCCAAGTTCTTCTTGGCACTTAAATGAAAATAGCAATTTTTGAACAAATTGTTCTTTTTAAATCAAGCCCCTTTCAGTGAATCGGCTGATTCAGTTTACCAAATCTGAAAGATTCATTAACAAATGGTTCTTGATTTTACCTCACTGAATCAATGATCCTTTTTGGCCTGGAAGATTATCTTTAAATAGCCACGTTTCCATTACCCTTCAAATTGCACTAATTGAAATTGAGAATTGAAAAAACACGTCAATTTCGCAAAAACTCCCATATATTGCAAAAAAGTTTTTACGCTCGCACGAGGTGGTTTTTTCAGGCAATTTGAAAAGGAATATATCACAAAACTGCAATGGAGAGTTTTTTCACATTGACAGGTCACCTGGCCTATATAAAAATCATATGATCATTCTTTGATGTACTATAACCTCCAAGAAACATCTCATACGTGGCTGCTCTCAAGTATAAAGGGCTTTCCTTGCCATTAATTCTTTGAAAAACCCATTATTTACACTGCACACGTACATGGTGCATTACGGCTCCGACATGGCCACTCTAGTCAGTGTTTGTTTTTATACCAGCTTTCCAGAAGCGGCTCCCCACGCTACTTCACTAAAGATACATGCATGCGCCTCCTTAGATTAAAATTAATGGCTTGTGCAGTGGCTGCAATATACGTAAACCTACCAACATCTGTCGCCATGACTTGTCGAATGAGGAAAAAAATATATTTTAGTCACATAACGTCGGTTAATAGAAACACTGTGAATTCACAATATGTTTTTTAATCGACATTTATAAAATATCACAAAAGTTTTGCGCAAATCTGTAATGGAAAACTGGCTAATGTTGGTCTGTTCATCACACAAATCTATCATATGACTTTGAAAGACTAAGCCATTTTTATTGTACCATTGCGTTTTTTTTTTTTTTTTTTTGACACCCCCAGCCTCATTTACTTTCATTATATTGAAAAAAGTGGCCACACTCTCAAAAAAAGCTGTCACTGGTGGTACCTTTTTAAAAGATACTATTGTACTTTAAATATGTACTATTTAGGTACTAATATGTACACTTTATGTACTAATATGTGCTTTCATAGTAGTAATATGCACCTTTTAGGGGTAAAAAGAGTACAAAGATGAAAATATATCTCCTCGGTGACAGCTTTTGTTCCTTTTCTTCTTGAGACTGCAAGGTATTCTTAAAAAAATTCATATTTTGTGTTCAATAAAAAAGGGGTATACAGGTTTAGAATGACATGAGGCTGATTAAATGACGACAGAATTTTCATTTGATTCTTTATTGCAGAAAGCAAGCTGCCATGCAGCGAACCCTGCTCTGACAGATGGTCTTCTGTTGTATGAGTATGAGGGTCGAGGCAGCCCGGCTGGCTCTGTTGGTCGTTGCAGCCTCCTTGAGTCTGACAATGACCTGGAGTTCCTGAACAACCTAGGGTCAAAGTTCCTTACATTAGCGGAACTATGCCATCCTCCAAAGCCTCCTGTACCCCCTCCCAAAACTGAGCAAGTAGTCGAATCGGTTGAAACCAGCTGCAAAACCGAGAGCTCCGTCAGTACTAGCACCGTCCAGATTACCAAAACCATCCCACCTCCACAAGAAGTACAACAAAGCTCTGTTACCAAAGTTGAGACGGTAAAAAAATCAGCCACGCTTCCAAGTGCCAAAGCAAGCGAGATGCTTTTTGTGCAACAGCAGCCTCTATTCTACCTGGTGGAGCAGCAAATACCAAACACAGTTTTTGTTGAGAGTCCCACTCAGGGTTTGTATGTAATAAATGGGAACCCTGGGACGGAAGGTTTGATCCTCCAAGGCGGAAACATTTCACAGGCGACTCTGAGCCGAGGACAACAAGCAATGTATGTGATTAATGGAGCCCCTGTAGCTGCTAATCAGCCGATACAGCTGCAAATGGAAGGACAGGAACAGGAGACTGTGCTGGGATTTAGCCCTGTCTCATCTCCCATCGGATCGCCTGGCGGCGTACTGCTAATGCAGACCCACTTTCAGGAGAACCCAATGCAGGGGGCGACCAGCAGACCACCAATTTTGCTTGCTGATGTTCCAACACTGGGCAAACAAAAGAAAAAGAAGACACCAGCTGAGCCACTGGGTACTAAAAAAGTGGAGCCTAAAGCAAAATACACTGCGCCATCTAAATAAATATGAGAAGATCCAAGAAGATAAGCCCCAAAGACAGGGTACAAAATTAAATCCCATTTGAGAAGGGGAAAAATGATAGATAGATAGATAGATAGATAGATAGATAGATAGATAGATAGATAGATAGATATGGAGGGACAGACAGATAGATAGATTTGATGCTCAAGAAACATTTCTTATTATTAATGTTGAAAACAGTTGCTTAATATTTTTGTGGAGACTGTGATATTTTTTCAGGATTCTTTGATGAACAGAAAGTTCAAAAGAACAGAATTATTTGAAATAGATTTTTTTAAAGGGGTCATATGATGCGATTTCAATTTTTCCTTTCTCTTTGGTGTTACAAGCTCTTGGTGCATAAAGAAGATCTGTAAAGTTGCAAAGACTAAAGTCTCAAATCCAAAGAGATATTCTTTATAACAAAATAATGTTCTTTTTAGCAGCATCATATGACCCCTTTAAACAATGAAAAAGTATTTACTATACATTGTAATCAATTTAATGCATTGTTGCTGAAGAAAGAAAAATTCTTACAAAAAAACATACTGACCCTTTTGAACATAGATAACATATTGGATCATATATTTGATGGAATAATTCCTCTAATTTTCATCCAATATTTTTATGTAGTACATATTTTGTGCTTATTTGTTGTACTTGTGAACATGCTAGCATCAAAATGTACATGAGAAGCACAGTGTATTTCCACAAGAGTGGCTGTTGCTGTCTATGAAAAACATCAAATTAATCACTCACAAAGTTCCATTTTGGTTGATGTCTGCGTAAAAAACAACTCCCCCAGAGACAGCCAGTGTCTGTCGGTCGAAAGAAATCAGTGCATGACAAGAACAAAGTGACTCAAAAGCAAAGAATCGTTTTTTTTTTTTATTTCTGAACAGATAAGATCATAGACTTAGATCAAACGACGTTTAACCCTGAAGCAAAAGGCTGCTTCTCTCTCAAAGAATGTCAAGAAAAAGTAAAGAACAGGCTTGTGAAGCACATCTTGAAAATCCAGCTGCTTTTTCTTCAGCTGAAGTTACTAATTGTCAATAATGTCCTTGCTAAAAGATCTCTCGCACTGTTCATTCAGTCAGAGAGAAGTATGTGTCTATGCAGACACCATCTGGACCATTTGGCCTTGAGGTTCATCTGCGTTCACATTGACAGATGTGCATGTGGTCAGATGTTCTGACAGCTGATGGAGGAATCATTTGAGGGACAGTGATCAGTAAAGAACACTATGTGTGTGAGCTGTGTTACAGATGGAGATGGCCTGTGGGATGAAACTGTAAAATAAGCATGGGAAAAATAAGAAATCCAAGTAAAATATGTGCACCCAGGATATGAGAGTGTAAATCTGACTTGACCCCGTCCTCTTGCCTTTCTTGTTATTTCTCTATTTTAACCATCAATAAAATAACAAGGCTCAAACTTATTGTAAAATTAAAGAAAAAATGCTATATAACGTTTGTCAAAAATGTATCCCTTTTTTTCAGTTTCTTTTTTCCAAAATGTATTTTTGTACAAACTGACTAATCCGTTTTCTTGTTTAATTACATACTGATAATTTTGGTGATTATCCAGTGGTGATTTATTCTGCCTTAATGAAAATCTTTAATAATGGGGATTTTTGACAGTAATAATAAAGTCTTTTAACACCATTTCTGCAGAGTCTTGTTTTTTATTTGTTACTGTTGTGAGTCGTGTTGTCAGCTTGACAGTTTTCTTGTTAACCCTGATGAGCAGTTTAAAAAAAAATAAAATGAATAAATCACATGTTCTCCTTTCACGCTACTTGCTGAAACCTGCCTTATCAGCATTTTTCAAATGCAGTCATAAATTTGCAACTAGCTTTCAACATGAGTCCTCATGCCACAGGGTATGAGCTGAAGAATGAGAATGACAACTCAACTGAACATTTTCAGCAAACTTAAGGCTTAGTCACTTACGTGATTTAAAACTATTACAAGGAGTCCAATTCCCACGCGTTGCCCAATTCAAAATGAACGATGAGAATCACTATAATAAGAGCTTTTTTTTGACAGTTTCCTTTAGTCATGTTCAAACTTGGACTGTATCAGAAATGACTGAGCCTGTAAACAAGCATCATGGTCTTATAGTAAGTTGGTATATTCTCATAAGACTATTAATATAGGCTATGCATCTTAGAAATTAGGTTGCACAGTTGTTGGGTGCATTCTTTTGTCTCTTTGTCTTCAAGTCCGTGAATCGTCCTCCCTCATTTGTAGCGTTAGAAAGTCTGATTCATTAAAATTAATCTGTTCAACCTCTCACGCCTGTTGCAATGTAACGTCCGGTTCATTCTAGTGAATGTATTTGACCTAAACCATTTGTCTCTCACGTGTAGCGTTAGAAAGTCTGATTCATTCAAATTAATCTGCTCAACCTCTCACGCATGTTGCAATGTAACGTCCGGTTCATTCTAGTGAATGGATTTGACCTAAACCATTTGTCTCTCACGTGTAGCGTTAGAAAGTCTGATTCATTAAAATGAATCTGTTCAACCTCTCACGCGTGTTGCAATGTAACGTCCGGTTCATTCTAGTGAATGGATTCGACCTAAACCATTTGTCTCTCACGTGTAGCGTTAGAAAGTCTGATTCATTAAAATGAATCTTTTCAACCTCTCACGCGTGTTGCAATGTAACGTCCGGTTCATTCTAGTGAATGGATTCGACCTAAACCATTTGTCTCTCACGTGTAGCGTTAGAAAGTCTTTTTTTTTATTCTAGTGAATCTGGGCCTCATTTATAAAATGTTGCGTATAAACCGTGCTAAATTTCTCAAAAGTGCGTAAGTGCGATTCAGAGAAAAAACGAACATGAGCACAAAAACACGTGTGTACGCCTTTCTTCCAGATGTGACATTTATAAATCGCAAATGATCTTGAAATTGTGCGCAGCTGACTACAGTGTCAGTGACCATGGTGTCAGATCTCCGACTTGTAAACGCCCCTTAATTAATATCATTACCATATAATAATATATAATAATAATATTCTAATTTCAATGCTTGAGAATGACCAGCACAAAGAAAAAAAAATAACTTTACTGAGTCTGAAATTGAGGTCCTGCTGGCGGAGGTAGAGGTTCGTGCTGGGACGCTTTTTATTTAATAATGTGTAATTATTCTGTGGAGAAACAATGTGTGTGTGGTTATATTTTTTCTATTGACCATTATCAAAATTACTACTAGAAACAACAGAAATAATCATAATAATTATAATAATAGTAATTATAAAACAATTAGGTTTCCAAAAGTAAGAATAAACTACGAATTCAAGTAAAATTTTCAGTCATCTTATAAAAAGTGAGCCATCCTACTTTTAAAATCACTTGCTATGACAACTTATAAAAAGTTTAGTATCACGAAATTATTGCAAAACTTAAAAAAAAAAAACATTATTGAAAGAAAAATTGGACGTTTCATATCATAATAAAATAAATTATTACACGATTATGGTCTCCGGTCTGAAAAAAACCTGCATGTGATTTGGGATTTCTTCATATTTACACAGTTTACTAATGCTGCTCAAATGTGCCATTAATGTACTGACACAAAAATATATAGTGTATTTTATAGAAATATAACTGATGTAAATGACAAAAACAAAGTTTAAGGCTGATGTCTCTGTTCATTTTCACAGAAACAAAGCAGCAGATGTTATAAATAAAAACAGTTAGCAATGTTATTGAATAGAATATATTAAAACCGTTATTGCACGACATAGGCCTATTCTTATAGGCTACACAGACAAAACAGTCGGAGATGCGTTTATGCATTTTTTTTTTTTATATTTTACGCATTAGTAGTAAATCAAGACTTCGCAAGCTCTCTTGTAAAATAAAATAATAAAAAAACAGCATGGAATAAACTGTGTACAGAAAGCGAGTAAAGAACTGTCAACATTACACTGTCTTACACTGCATCTTTGTTGTTTACGATGAATTCGGTGCTTGCACGTACACCGCTTTTATTATTATTGTAGCTTAGTAGATGTTCAAATAGCTGCAGTACTCCGACTTTGCCACAAGGAAAAGTGCGTACGCCTGCTCAGACCCTGACGTGGCGGTAAGTACTTTTCCACGTCAAAGACCGTTTTTATAAATATGAATGTTGCCGTGGATTTTAGCGTACGCACACTCTAAGATCAAATCTGTGCGTATGCACACTTTATAAATGAGGCCCTGTATTCGTCCAAATAGTCCTCTCTCTCATATGTAGAGTTGCAAAGTCCATGATCGTCCTCCCTCATGTGTAGCGTTAGAGAGTCTGATTCATTAAAGGGGTCCTATTATGCTCTTTTACAAAGTCTTGATTTTGTTTTGGGTTGTGATTGGTTAGCTGGGCCAGTGTGTGTTATGATTGACAGCACTCGGCGCCCAGTCGGGAAATGTCACGCCCCTTACCATAGCCGCCTGCGAGCTTCAGTGTAAATATTGCCTTCAAAATGTATTGTAACGTCCAGTTCATTCTAGTGAATCAATTCGTCCTAATTGGTCTTCTCATGGTGGATGTCATGATTCATTATAGTGAATTGCTTCATTCACAGATTCACCAAACTATTCCCTAGTTCGACCTCCACACATTGACTTAGTTATGTGAATTATACATTTTATTGAAATTAGTAGGCCTATTTAACAAATTCAAGTTTGATTATGTCAACCTAACTGAATTCATTAATTCAACTGAATAAATTAATTCAAACCCCAACAAACAAACAAACAAACAAAAAAAAACATAGGGTAGCTCTGATTAAATTACATTATTGGATAGTTCTTCTTTTCACCCAAAAATAAAAACTCTGTCCCTCAAGTTGTTCCAAACCTGTATGAATGATCTTTCTTCTTCTGAACACAAAAGAAGATATTTCGAAGCATTTGTGAGACCGGGAGACCGGGTATGATTGTAACACTTTTTGTTTCAGAATTTTTGAGCTAGAGTGCTCAAACTTTTATACAAAGCACCCACATTTGTTTACTATAAGGAACTAATTCAGACCTCTGCAAGAATATCACAGCCCTTACAAGTTGATGTCAAATACATGTGCCTTTGTTACAATCTACCCCACTGTCGGGGTATGTTGTAACACATAGACTACTGGGGTAAGTAGTAACAGTTAGACAAAATAATAAGCAGCCACCCCATGAATTTTGCTTCAAAAATAGGTTTATTGAAACAATCTAAAAGAACAATACAAAATAATGTCTCACTTTTTGTGACTGACCACAGCTCAAATACAGTTTCTGTGTGATGCAGGTGTGTGCGTGCGTGTGTGTGTGTGTGTGTGTGTGTGTGTGTGTGTGAATTAGACTAGAACAAACTTCCTTAACTGTATTTATGCTTAATGAACACTCAACTCCAGTGTGCTAAGGTAAAGAACATGTAGAACATAAATTTGAGTGTGCAATTTGTGTCTATGTATGAATTTTGGATTCAGAGACTGCATGGGGCACATTTTACCCACACTTCCTTTGGCTATGAGCTTCCAAATGGCTCCATATAGACAACATGAAAGTTCTCAGTTGTATGTAAGTGGATGCTAAAATGTTACAACTCACCCCACCCCTGTCATCCAGTGTTTAGTTAGCTGTATTAAGCACAATGGTTTGAAATTAGCAGTTTAAAAATGCATCACATTTTGCCTACAAATTGCCACAAATTTATTCTAACATAAGTTATATGATTTTATCTGCAACGGTTTAAGTACTAAGCAAAATGTAGTTTTGGTCAAAAAAAATTCTTACATTCTTACATCAAAATCTTTTTTTCTCTTTATAAAATGTCTATACCTATTTATACCAATTATATTTATAATATTTTATTTATCATTTATAATATTATATTTATAATTTATACCTATATTATATTTACAGACTTGACAACCATTTATATAAGATCGGGGAGGAAGTTGGTAAATAATTAAATTATCATAGGACACCTTTTCCTTTCCATGTTACTGTGCCTAAATAATGTAAGTTTTATTGAAAAGAATTAAACAAAAATGAGACTGAATTACTTCTGTATGACCCAACCATGGTCCTGTTATGAATTTGATAAGAATCTATTCGCAAGAAAAATAATTCTCCTGTTCTCCGCTTAGGGATTTAATGCCTTTAGCAATACAGCTAGCACATGAAAATATGTGAAAAACAAGCGCGTACCCGCCTCTCAAGGGATAACTGTACACTTTTCTTTGAACTGTCAATAACAGCTCAGACCCTCAAATCTGTGCTGCCCAAAAACATTTCACCAGTGAGTCTGAACTAAGGTCCTCAGAAAGTAAACAAGCAATAAATCAGATCTCTCACAGAACGGAGTAACTTTGGGAATTAACAATCATGAAATGCACAAATTCCAAGGCCAGGAGGGTTGTTTAATAGATATGGGCAAATGCCCTTGATTGTTTCCACTGGATAAACCAAATTGTATGAAGTTACTGATTCCCCTGTTTATTTACTGTGTCAACAGGGCAACGCAGATACCCCCTTGAGTCACCTGATGACAGGGTCGGCAGCTGTATAAAGGGCATTTTGGGTTTTTATCTCATGAAATTGTGCTTTAACATGGCTAAAGCAGTGATTTGTGTGCTTCTTGCATCTCTCTTTGCCTGCTGTAGATCTGCACCAGTGGTAAGTTCAATTGCTTGTTGTATAGAATAGAGCTATATAACAGGAACTTACATATTTTTCAAAAGCAATAAATTTGACATTCATTTTCGTTAAAGTGACTAAGAGCAAGTGCAATTGTATGAATTCTCTGTATGTCATGAATAATATCTTATAGAGAGTTCTGACTGTGTAAATGGAATTTATTATTTATTCATAATAAAATCTCCCATAAAAATCCACTTTTCACATACAGACTGTGATGACGTTTCCATAATTATTAGCATTGCAACCCTCACAAAGCTTTTTATTTGTTAAATTCTTCAGTTCTAATATATTTTCTTCCCTCATTTGTATAGAAATACTATCGTGTATTTTTTTTGTTTCGCTACTGAAGCAAATGGGAACACAAAAAAATATATCTGTTGTAGTATCTATTCAGCACTAAAAGTTTACCAAACTATGACAGCTTCCACTTCTGAGAACCACAAAAACGTGAATTATCTGAGAGATCACAACTGTCTTCCTGTCAGCCATAGGCTGTGCATACAACTAAAAAAGGCAGTTAAGGTTCTTAAGAATAAGAAAACTAGCCAATAATAATTGCTTTCTGTTTGATTTTGCATGTTCAGGTCTTTGGAGGAGTGAATTTAGGAGAGAGGAACCGGCTGAAATCTCTTACAGCACCTTTTAGTTATATTTAACTTGGCAGTGACACAAAATCTATGAAATGTATATGAAAGATAAAATGTCTCCTAAATTGGCCCCTTCTGGGTGAGACAAGGTACTTTCAGTTGTTGGACAGGCTAACATATGGGTCGCAATGTTATCTGCATTCTGCCATACTACAAAGTGCTGCAGTAAACTTTGTACTAGGAAAACACACATATACACAGCTTTACGTCCAGGCGGTCACTGACCTAACAAACGGCTCAGAGCTGATACAGCTGCTTCCATTATTTGACTTTAGCAGATGCTTTTATCCAAAACAAACTGACTAGGAATACAACAAAGCCATTCATCTAAAGATAAGATCATCCCAAGCACAAGGTTCTATTTCCAGACCTAAATGAGATACAGAAAGACTAAGCACCATGTTTAGACTGAACTAAACTTAGGAGCATTTCTATGCACATTGACTGTGTTCCAGGCTTTTCATGGTGGTTCAGATGTTCTCTGCCCTCTGACAGTAAAGATCCTGGATGCTGTGAAAGGGACTCCTGCTGGAAATATAGCTCTGGATGTCTATCGCCAAAATCAAGGTGGGACATGGGAAAAGATTGCCAGTGGGTAAGATCACATTAGCCGTCATGCTCTATAAAGACTTTTGATGCAAATATATAATTATATTAATAACATTAATTACATTTCAGATTTTTCATCTGACCTAATTAGAACCCAGTGGACGATCCATAATAATTCTGTATTAATGTTCATTCTGTTTGGGCTCAATTTGACCTCAGTAATTGCATTTGTATTTATTTATTCATGTTACCCAGGGTCTTTGGGACAATAATGTTAAAAACAGGTCATGAAGGATTTTCAAAAAAATGTTATGAAGAATCAAATCATGTTAATAATTTGTATGGATAAGTATGTTACGTCAATGAAGTCAAATATTAACCTGATGCTTCAATGACCATATATACTGAACTGTTAAAAGGGGATAATGGTCTCGGTCCAAAAACAACAAAAAAACATAAGTAAAATTGATAGTGGGGTTAGTAGTGCTATCTAAAACCATAAAAACTGCAAAAATAAATAAATAAATAATAAAATAAATAATAAAATAAAAATAAATAAATTAATAATAATAATAATAATAAATGACACATTACAGAGTTTCTTTTACTGCGGTTTTGGCTTTGTAGGGCAAACCGCTCTGTTCTCTATTCTACATATTTTCATTTTAGTCACATCATCTTGGCTCCTCTTTCCTGTCACTGTCATTATCATTAATGAGCTCTTCCTCTCACACAGGAAAGTGGACATGACGGGAGAGGTGCACAGCTTGATCACCGAGGAGGAGTTCACTCCTGGCGTGTATCGGGTGGAGTTTGACACTAAAGCCTACTGGAAGGCGGAGGGTCGTACACCTTTTCACCAGGTGGCCGATGTAAGTAATGCTTTGATGGCACTTCTATATTCTATATTCATGAGCATTTAATGGTTGCTAAATGATGGGTTATTGTTGAAATCAAGGCACCTAAACCACAAGAATGCACATAGCCCCCTTACTATTGGAACTACTTTTTATTATTATTTATAACACCAACCTACTAGATTTGCATAAGGCCGTTTTTTGCAGCAAATATGTGTATATTAATACCCTGAATGATTGTCTTGGATGTGAACCAAGAGCTATATTAACTGTGGGGAGGTAAATATTTAAGATCCTATATCTTGTTTTCTATAGACACAGTAATGGACAGTTTTAGATAAGAGGACAGAGCATTCAAGGACAACACATGCATACATGCACAAACATACTGATCACACAGACACTGACAGATACACATGTATGTAAAGAAACTTTTATCTTCCAGATAAGCTTTGTGTTTCTCAGTGGTTCTTTGGGGGTTTTTTTTGCAGGTGGAGTTTGAGGCTCATGCCGAGGGGCATCGTCATTACACTCTGGCTCTTCTTCTGAGCCCCTTCTCGTACACCACAACAGCTGTGGTCGTCAAAGCACATGAGTGACAGCACACAACAACCTACACGGAGAAATGACTTTACATGCAGGGTCCAACATTAAGTATTTGCCACACCTTGCAATGCCAGTTTGCTTGATAAAAGTACTTGTCAAAAGTGTTTTTGAAAAAGTCTCTTATGCTCACCATAGCTGCATTTGTGTTCAAAAACACCAATATTGTGAATTTTATATATATTACTCACTAGCCATTACATTTTTTTGCATTGTTTTTTTTAATAAATGCAGCTTTCTTGTATTCTAAAAATATGTTTTAAAATCATTGGTAACACTTTACTTACAGCCTTTAAATATAATGCATTATAATAGTAGTATTAATGCATTAATTATGTCTTGTAAAGCATCATATATGATCTCATCTGATTGTATGATCTCATAAATACATTATAACTGTGTACATAATACAAATACACTTATCTATTTATTGTTACATCTTTAGAAAGTATAATGGATTAAAACACATGACAAACAAATCTTTAAATTTTACAATGCAGTTTGCAGTTATTTATGAAATGATATAATGCATTACAATCTACATTATGAATACTTTAATGCATTATACATAAAGGCTTTAATTCAAGTGTTACCAAATCATTTGTACGGTATAAGACATTTGAATCACACACACTAATTACATCAAGAATTTGACAGTTATTCACTTTAACTGAAACCATGAATTATGCTGCAGTTTCTTAATACTAGGATACTTAATACTTCTGAATAACTTTATTCACCAAAGCCAGTTTTTACTTGCATTTGGGAGCTTGGCAAGTGTTAAAGGGATAGTTCACCCAAAAATGAAAATTCTGTCATTAATTACTCACCCTCATGTCGTTCCAAACCCGTAAGACCTTCGTTCATCTTCAGAACACAAATTAAGATATTTTTGATGCATTCCGAGAGGTTGAACCACTGATGTCACATGGATTATTTTAACAATGTCCTTGCTACGTTTCTGAGCCTTTATCGTGGTAGAATCCTTGCTGTCTATGGGAGGGGCAGAGAGCTCTCGGAATGCATCAAAAATAACTTAATTTGTGTTCTGAAGATGAACGAAGGTCTTCCGGGTTTGGAACGACATGAGGGTGAGTAATGACAGAATTTTCATTTTTTGGGTGAACTATCCTTTTAATTTTGGACCTTGATTGAACCCACTTTCCTCAGACCAATTAAAGAGATCAGACTCCGAGTAAGTTTTCAACTATAAAGTCTTTTAATGATCATTACAGAGCGAAACGCAGTGAAGAGACCGGTACAACAACAACAACAAAAAAATAGAAATCTGGAACCAGGATTGTACATGTCAGTCAAAGCAGCTGGTATCTCAAGACATTCTGCTTCTCATACTGGTGTTACAGTTAAAGTGGACCCTCAACATTAGAGAAACACAAACACAGGAGAAGATCCTCATGTTTTTCAGTTCCCATTCAATGACCAGCAGACATTTCAGTTCTAAAGACACAACTCCAGATCGAAATAAAAACGTTGAGTAAAAGAAAATGTAAATGTGCACCCAGTTTTATTTTTAAACACCATCCACACACACCCCACTGCACATCTCAACAATGCGAAAATGAAAAATTCAATAAATAAAAAAAATCAAGGCACAAATATGAATACTGCAAAAATGTAACACTCTACACATTACAGATCTGTAATGGTGAATAAATCATCTTTTGAAATTCTCTATTATTTCTGGATATTTTTCAGACAGCTGAACAGGATGGGGCAGCTATGAGAGCGGTGGGTTTGGGGTGAAAAATGAGATGAGATTAATCTAAATTAGCAGACAGCACTGAACAAAGCTTCCTCAAAAGCTATAACTGACTAACCACCAGATCCAAACACACCAGAGCAGTCTCACTGGTCTGTTTTACAAAAAAAAAAAACCCTCTTCAATATCAGGGGAACGGACCGGCATTACACTACCAAAAAAGAAAATAAAAATAAAAGTAACATTCAGTATTCATATTGCAACCCAGCTTACTTTAAGAATAATGTGTAAATTTCAGTCCCAATCTGTGTATCCAAATAAAACCATTTCGCTGTGGTGCAAAAGCTAATGATTAAATTGTAACAGGCCTATCTGACTTCATATTGCAGCATAAGACTAATCATTACTCTGTTAAAGTGCCTGCAAAACAAAAAAACAGTGCACTGTGAGGGTGGAATGATACTTGTTTATTTGAGCATTCTGGAAACTAGTGCTCATAAGCCACACTTCCCTCTTTGAAAGCCAAAACCCAGTGTTAAATGCCTATTTTTTACATTAAACAACACCTATTAAGTGGTTATATCTCACCGGCTGCTTCAACACGAACACAGGGCGTAAACCAATAGCACATTTGACGCTAACTTTGCCTAAACTTTGCTTATGTAAATTTGTTGGCCCTGTGCGGTGGAAAAGCAAGGCAAGGGGTTTTTCAGCTGCGCTTAATGTCATTCTACAGCAATCCTCTCACACTGGACTGCACATGAATGTGACACCACATATACACAAACTCACGCATGTCGAAAAACACTCAAAGTTACTGGATCAAAAAGTTTAGATTGATCTGATGTCCTAGAGCTACATTTCACTATCCAATGCTTAAAGATGAGGAGAGCGAAAGGGAAAAGGAAAAGCGGACTTTGGCACCAGTAACCTCCATATCATATTCAGTATATTATATGACAATACTCTTCAATTCCTTGTCTGAGTTGGTCAAATGGTTTTTTTGTAACCCGTAACCACAGTAAACAGGTCTGATTAGACCCAACTGTAAGTCTGATGTTTTAAGAAGAGACTGTAAAAAACAGACTGGGCACTGGAGATCACGTCGGGGACACCATCAATGGGAGGAGACCGTACTAGTGTTAAGAAGACATCCACTCAGAAAAAGACAATGCAATCGGACTACCAAAGAGAAGCATGGCTCATCTACACCTCAGAGACACAAGCCTCGAAAGCAGGCGCAATAAAGCGTTTTTGTGAGGTGTGAGTGTGGCTCAACTTTAAGTGTCAGAAAGTCCAGTTAGTGTCGCAAACTACGCCACTGACAAAATCTCGCCCTCAATGTGTAATTCTCTGAGTGGACACACACATACAGCATGAGAGGATATGAAACAGCAGTTTTAGGACATATATATGATAACTTAAAATATACACAAAAAATGAATGCAACATGTTATATTGACAACACCAACAAATTAAAAGTATATACAAAAGGCAAATGTGTACCAACAAAAAGTTTTCCAACAGCTTGTAATGCTCGAAACTTTAACAGCATAAAGTCGTCATGGCCCAAGTGTACTCCGAATGCCATTCAAGAGCAACGGCGACATCGCTCTCTCATCTCGGCCCTACCGGAGCGCAACGTCACCCAGTACTTCACACCGAGCTACACACACAAACAGACAAAAAACACACAGGTTGAGACAAATGCCAAACCCTGCGAAGGGCGTCTTGGCTTTAGCAGCTGCGAACCCGACTGACCACCAGGTCTTCCTGCGAACGACCTGTCTCGTAAACACCTTGCTATCGTTTCAATTACATCTTCTTTCACTACTGTGGAGTGCACTTCAAAAGCGAGACATGAGAATGATTATGCTATTAACAAAACCGAAGATAAAAAACATTCAATATGACGAAAAATAAAAGTTTAAGACAAAATAATCACGTAACAAAAAATAAATTAAGGCATGCAGCAAGTAATGATATCTGTATGTCATTTTTGATTCGGTTTCCTGCATTCTATGGTCATCGCTGATATTTTTTGTCTATCTGTCATGTGTCCCAAACCATTGAAGATAAAAAAAAAAAATCATTAATAAAATTAACAGAAATCAAAATAAACAAATAGCTGCCAAAAAGAAGAGTGTTTCCACTGGAATCACAGGCGTCTTTTGGGGGACAAAGCTAAAGCATCATTTAAAAGGCCAGATATTTACAGGGGAGTCTGGGTCATGCATGCAACTTGTCACAGCCTTCTGTATAGCCATGGGATTTGGGGGAGAAAAAAAAAAAACATAACATAACACACCACCAAGGTGAAATGTATATCGTAATACAAGAACAAAACGATCTGAAGTGAAGGACCGGTTTGAAATACATCCATTTAAACTGCATTGATGTCTTCTAAACAATTTCCTTTAAAAAAAACGATAGATATGTATAAAAAAAACAGAACATGACAAAACGTCTATTGGCGTCAAGAGTGCTGTTGCAATGTAAAACCAAGCTTTCTACAATGTAAGCACAAATGACTGGATCTACAGAGTTTGATAGCCTATAAAATTCAATTAAAGCTTTGCAGTAAACATCTGATTTGTTGACGCTGGCACTCCCCAGCTTTTTTGAAATGTGTTGTGATCTGATTCGCTAAAGCCAGCGTGGACATAGGAACATGCAATTAAACGCACGCAGTCACGCTAATACGCTTTCACAGATATGATCCAGTAATCGCACACATACACGCACACTCCCGTCACGCAACTAACTGTGCATTAGACAGGCCTCTGCCCTCCTCGCTCCTGTTTTTTAAGGGCATTTGGCATTGATACATCACATTTTTTGACTCGGGGGTCACAGCCTGTCAGTACTCTGCTATGGGGGCCAGCTCGGGATTCAGATTGACTGTGATGTTCTTATACAGGCTGCTCAGAGAGATCTCCGGAGAGTACTGCAGATTGTTCAAGCCGTCCAGATGCTGTCGTTCTTTAGAGTACCTCAGCAACTTGTACCTGAGGGGAGGGCGAGATGAACCGGAGGTTAGTGTGTCCTTGAGATAATCTGCTACAATACGCAAAGATCAATTTATGTATGACCGCAAATATGTTTTTGTCACACATAGGTCAATCCACTCTGGGTTACACAGAAACAGATACAACTTTTGTTTAAGGTCAGGTCAAGTGTAAGCAGGTCAGAGATAAAGACTGAACAGAACAGTGACAAGAAAGCCATTTTCCACCTTCCAAATCTTAGTTCTTGAAGTACTAGTAGGGTTGGGAATCGAAAATCGATTCCGATTCCAGAATCGGATACTTAAGGTCAGTAATTGGATACTTGTTGTCAAATTAAAATTTCGATTCCACCTATCGATTCCTATGCGCTTTTTTTTTTCTTCATCTATGAGGACCGGTGTTGTGCCGAATTCTGCACCCCTGCCAGACTATGCAC